TACATAATTCTTGATGTATTCGTACACAAAACTTAAGATAACATTGAAATTTTAATGCATGCTCTATGTCAGAATCCTGTGAAAGAAAATGTTGTTTCATTCTTGTAACAAATTTCAAACACTCAAGAATTAAATCAGCTGTTATTATGTATTTTATATACATAATATATTTTATGTACATAATATTTATATACATTATATATTTTATATATATTTGAGCATTTATACCGTTTTGATCTACTTTAAATATTATTTTAAAACGCATTCTTCTAAGTGTGTGTGGAATGGGGTTTTTCACGAAATCACCTTATAGTTCTAAGCGTTCCATGTGTCGAAAAAGTTTAAAGACCACTGATATACAGGAAGAACAGGGAAAAAAGCATTATAAAAAATACAGTCAAGTGTTTAGGCAAAGGGAATAACTAGTTATTTATAGAAATGACATCATTGTTTAGGGAATATTAAATCCCTATATTAGTAAGGCACATGAAAACAATTAATGATCTTCTATTTCTTGGAATCGCCAATAAATCTATCAAAAATTCAAGGTGTTAAGAATAAGTAATAAATACAGTGGCGTAACATAGTAATATTGTATTTAGGGATTGCAATACACCGGGATACCGCGAATACCGGTATTTTGAGCCATTTGTACAATTTTGTAATACCGGTATTCATAAGTTAAAATACCGGTTTTCTGGTATTTACTAGAAATTTTTAAATTGTCTCCACTATATGTTCAAGGATCACGAACATAGCAAAATAGTATACGTTTTTGTTTTTAAATCTATCTAACGAGAAAAATTAATTAGACCGAATATAAAGTTGCCTCGTATAATCAAGAGAAGGGATAAAATATGTGAATCATCGAAGAAGGCGGGCCAAAACTGTGTGTGTGTGTCCTATTATAGTTCAGTGAGATACTGCACACGCTCAGGATTCGTAGTCTGATATTCGTATCTGTTAAAACAAGGTTGTAGTTGTGAACAAAGTGTAATATTTCGATATTTTTTTAAAATGGCGAGTTTGTTATTTACATTGTATCTGCATATAATACTTTAGGGTTCAAAATATTTTCCAGATTCATAAAATAGACTCAAAAATAATTACCCATAATAATGAATAAGAATAAGATTTAAGATCACATTAAAAAAATTGGTAATGGTATCAAAGACTGAATAGTGATATACACCCATGTCAATAAATTAAGGGTAATTCAGAATCACACAGAAATTGAACTGTAAAATAAAAACTTCACCTGTAGAATTATCACACATATCTTGAAGAAGAATACGCAAATTACAGGAAACCACTAGATGAAACGAATAATATGTCACGATGACGAGAGTGTAAGAGAGGGGTATATAAGGAATGGTGGCAAAGAAGAAAAATTGTTCACAAGCGCTTTAAAAGCCTTTCAGTGCAATAACCACATAGTTATGGCCCAAAGGAAGTATTTGAATGTTTTTTCGTGGTAGAATTTTTGAACGACTCGAATGTGGACGTACCCAGCTGGAAGTATCCGAGAAACTTGGAATCGCCTAGAGAGTCATCTCCAGGCTTTGGCAACGATTCCAAGATGATGGTAATGTGAGTAGATGTTACAGCACAGGTCGCCCCCGAGTTACAACGCCGAATGAGGACCGGTATATATTTGGCAGTTACTGCCAAAAGAAACAGACGGAGCACAGCATCAGACCTGTCTCGTCAGCTCTCTTCAGCTACCGTTACGACAGTTTCAAGGCAGACCGTGTACAGACGCTTAGGGCACATTGGTCTATATGCTCGTAGGCCTGTCAGATGTGTTCCACTTACCGCAATTCACTGTCGCCTGCGATTAACCTGGAGTAGAGAGCATGCATTGTGGACACCAGCACAGTGGTCTTGTGTGATGTTTTCCGACGAGACCAGGTTTAGTTTGCAGTCTGATTCTCGCCGGACTTTAATATGGAGAGCGCCAGGTACCCGTTACCACCAAGAGAACACCATTAAATGACACCGTTACGGTGGTGCAGGATGGCTCGTTTGGGGAGGAATTATTCTTGGTTCCAGAACTGACCTGCATGTTTAGAGTGTAACGATGGCAGGCCACATCTATCGGGATGTCATTCTGGAACAACATGTACGTTTGTTTCGGGGAGCCATGGGTGCTGAATTTCTGTTTATGGATGACAACGCCCGTCCTCACCGTGCAAACATTATAGACGAATGCCTTCAATCGGAGGATATCACCCGTATGAATTGGCCAGCATACTCACCGGACTTGAATCCAATAGAGCATATGTGGGATATGCTTGGCCGACGAATTGCAGCCCGTCAAACCCCTCCCAAGTGTCTACCGGAACTTCGGAGGGCATTGCTTGATGTGAGTGGTGTAATATTCCCCAATATCAGATTGATAATTTGATACTCAGCATGCCTAGGCGTTGTAAGGCCTGTAGTGCATCGTCCGGGAGACATACTCCGTAGTAACCATCATACTAATCATGTTATACTGTTTTTTGTAAATAGGTTCTTTTTTGAAATTTGCTCCAGGGAGTAAAAATCGCAATTTTTATTAATTATGTCAAACATATAGCATCCTTTTTGCTCTTTACCTTTTGTTTAATAAATAGACTTTACAAATAAAACAAATTTGTTTTGCTTCTGTCTCTTTCTTTGCCTGAACTTCATTATCCTTAAAATACGGACATGAGTGTATTTGAAATTTAAATAAATAAGATGCTTCTTTACTTTTTTGTGATTCTTTATATACCGTTATAATACATAAGTTACAAATTATTCTTTTTTGATATTTACACCCTTTAATAAAACTGACAAATAAAACAAAGAAATACCTGTGTTTTCTTTCTTTCCCAAAATTTCTACTATCGGTATTAAAACTGTTACCCGGTATTAAGATCTAAAAAATACCGAATACCGGTAATGAACTTTTGGTCCGATATTGCTATCCCTAATTATATTGTATTTTCTTGTTCATGCATAATTTTTGTATCATTTCTTGTCAATCTCGATGAACTATTTTGTAGCTCTAAGCCCTCCGGTAGATGAGTCAGATCCTCCCGAATAAATAAATATCCAGGTATTCTCCAACGACGTTTTATAGCGTAGCATTAATTTCCTTCCCCTTAATGTCAGTAAGTACTCGAGCACATACGAATTGAATCGCATAAATTAGAAAACTAAAGTTATGGATAAAAAAAAACGGTACCCAGTAGTGCCTTTAAGCGCAAGCAACGTCAAGACAGTAAACAGAAATCACCTAAAATTGGTAAATTTCTTAGTCAGCCTTCTACGAGTGCTTCTGGCACAAGCATTTCTGTTAATAGTGACTTATAGATTATATGGTCACTACAGTGTTTCTTGAGAAGCCTACTGGACGAAGTTCGATAGTTATTGCAGTTAAAGATACCGCCTTTGACGATGCAAATTTATAGAAATGCATTCGAATCATTCTAGATCCCCATTTTAAGAAAAAAGGTAAAGGAAAGTTAAAAACATTTTTAAAGAATTAGTTTATGATCACTGATTTCTAAAACCGGAAAGAAATATTTAAAATTACTATTTTCACAATAAGGTATACTAGAGAGACACAATACATATTAACTCTATTAAATACACATTTTACTAGTATGAGTTCAGTCTGTCAAATATTTAATTTACTAAGACCAACATTTTTTCTAGATGTAGATGAAACAACTTTGTTATAAAAGTGTGACGAATTCCAAAAATTATTCTGGTATAATAGGCCCAAACTCTTCCCTTCAATTTTTTTAATATTTACCACCTAGTTCTCTTTAAATTAACCCAGGTAATGACTGTTCACCAGTTATGTAAGGAAATAATGAGCAAGTATGGAGTGCTAGAATGCGCAACCTAATAGATGTATTTACAGCAATTTTTTTATTCTATACATTTCCTGTCACTTCTGCAGCCGCAAAAACATTATTTAACAAATTAAAAATTATTTGAGAAACGGTGTTGTCAATCTCGAATCCGTATTTATCACTAACTGTAAAAGAAACCAAAGTCGTACAAAACCTGGATTTGTTGTTGATGTGTTCAATTCTTCAGTATCTAGTGGCAGCTAGATCAAATCCATGAGACCATTTACCCTAGCAAAATCCAGCACCAGAAGTGGACTCGTGTGGACATCTTTCAAAGCTAACACCAAACAATCAAGGATATGTTCAGAGAAAGCCAGCAGTAGGTGACACTTGGGACAAGTCTGGAAAACCTTACGGCCAGATTCGAAGGTCATGCATTTCAAATGCCCACTGAGCATTCTGGACACAGCCGTTTCATCATTTCTGTCTCCGCCAAATTCCAAAGCACGCCCAGGGCTTTTCCTACTAATCCCGGGTTGGTGGGGAAGGGCCATCCAGACTTGCTTGTCCTTAATTTTCACTAAAGAGTACATCTCTCGATATGCGAGTGCATAATCAGTGGTCGCAATCCCAGAGCAGCCTCTTTTGGCCAAGAAATCCGCGACTTCATTTCCAGGGACGTTAACATGGAAAGGGTTCCACTGAAAGTGGATAATGGAAAGTGGATGGAAAGTCTCTATATTTTGCTATGGTTTTGAGCTCATTGATTATTCGAATGCTCACGGGGTCATCCACACGAGTTTAGTCCTGCAGGTGTTGAATGGAGCTCAGGCTATCTGTAAGGATCCAAATGTTGCTAGAGTCAGTTCTGTTGAGGATGGACTTTAAGAATAGTCGGTACCCCCTGTACCGACAATGTTAGATTGAGTCTTTTTAGGTTCCTGTTCCTCAGAAACTGTTGTTGTTGACGTGTGTTTTTTTTTTATCCTGGGAACTTATAAAATACACAAGTGAAGAAGAACAGAAAGCATACAATGCAACAGAAGAATATACACATTTATTGCACATGATAATCCCAGCATACAACAAGAAGCGGTGTGCTACTTTCTTTTCAAGACGGGAATCCGTTACAGGCGAAATACTTACTTCTTTCGTGAAGAAAATACACAACCATGTCTTATTCGGGATTCGATCCCGAACCCACTCGGTTACAAGCCGAGAGGCATAGCCACCATAATGTCTCAGCGACTAAGAAACTGTTAACTATAAAAACTTGAAATTTTGTCTGTATATTATATAATTAGGCCTTTTTATTTATACTCTGGTTAAAATGTTTCAAATATATTGTTTATTATTTTCAAAAAAGTTCATCGAAAAAGTATCACTTTGAAATTTTTGAAAATTGTCATTTTTTTTTACGATAACTGCTTTTCAACAAAATATTTTGAGAAAATCTCTAAAAAAGTAGCTTCATTTATTTAGTTACATATAATTTATATGCAGTAAAAATTTCATGTACATTCATTCAGTAGATTCTGAGAAAAAGGTACACGCAGTTGGAAAACAATCATTTTGAGAAAATTGCATTTTTAATGTAAAAAGGCACTTCATCACAAAAATAAGGAATTACAACGCTTATTTGTCCTATTTTAATAAATATTAGCTTATTCTCTATTACTTTTAAGACTTTTTAGTTTTTCCTTTTACTTAGATTTCTCAGAAAATGCATATATAGCATTTTTGACTTTGAAGCTATTGAGGCATTTTGTAGTGGTTGCATCATTTTACTCAAATTCTGTATCAATCTTTGAAGAATTTTCAGTTCTGATACATTACTTTCATCAAATTTGCCTGTAAAGCATCATAAATACCATGAGAAAATGTGTCAATGCATTAAAATATGGCTTTGGTAATACATGATCAAGCGATATTTCGAAAAGTTTCATTAGTGTTTTATGTATTCGCCTGTAAACACAATTTCTTACAGCTTCAGAATATTAAAAGTTTTCTTTAAATATTAGATAGATGGTATTCAAAACAAGAAGAAATCTGTTTTTATGTTTTTGAACATGAAATTTATGTATTTTTATGTATGTAACAAGCTTCGTGCAACGAAAAAAGGCATTGCATTTTGAGATATTTATATTCCTTTTACTAAGAAACTACTGAACACAAAAGCTTTAAAATTTGTATAAATACACAATATATATGAAATACACAGTAAAAAATTCCAGTTCATGCATACAGTAGATTTATAGAAAGAAGAATACACAATTTAATAAAAATTGTCATTTTCTGTGTTACGAAAACTTCTTTTTAGCTAAAAATGTCTGAGAATTTACATGATATTCTACAAATTCTGTATCAATCTTGAAAGAATTTTCAGTTTTGTGAGAGAGAGATGCATTACTTACACATCAAAGTTAACCATACAACATCTTTATTGCCTTGTTATAATGTATTAATATGTAAAAGTAATGAGAGAGAGAGAGAGATTTGGAAACATGTAATTATACGACATTTCGAAAGTTTTCATTATGCATATATACTCACAACTTCCTAAAGTATCAGAACTCAAGTTTCTCTATATGTTAAACAAGTGGTTTCTAAAACAGCCACAAGATTGGGGTTTTTTTTTCAAATCTGAAATTCATTAATTTTTTTTATGTATATAACAAGGTTCTCGCAACGATAATGACAATATGTCTTTTGTAACTTTTTCTCAGAAACTTTTGAACATTAAGACTCACGATTTTGTCTGTATATTGAATGAACCTTTAACTTTATACTTCAGTGACATTTTAAAACTAATTTATTCAGCTTCTTTTTTTTTTTAAAAAAAAAGATAATTTCTGTAAAACATAATTGGGAATTTAATAAAAACTGTAGTTTTTTTGTTATGACATTAATTTTCTAGCTAAATCGTTTAGAAATATTTCAAAAATTTTACTTCAAAATACAAAAGTAAATATCCATGCATGTAGTAATTAGGTTTAGGTAAAAAAAAGGAATAATTTTAAAAACAAAATTTTTAGAAAACAGTAAGTTTTATAAAAAATCTTCTCTTGTCAAAGTAAGTATACAAAAGTTGTTCCTGTGCTATTTCTTATAATCTTGTTATGTTTATCTACAAATTTTATTCTTAATTTTCTATTAGTTAATAATTAAATTTTGAATCACTCTAACCATAAGCTATAAAGTTCCCTCCAAAACTTAACGCAGTTAAATTTGCAGTTATTATACTGTTATCTAAAGTTAACTGCGTTTAATAAATAAAAAAGATAGAGGCTTTGCAACTGTTTAAACGGCCAATATTGTCAATTCTATCTGTCAAAGTGGTTGTGGTTGCCAACTGAATTTTTTAATAGTCATTTTAAAATGATTCTAATTCATAAAATGGCTAGTATGTTATATCATTGGAAAGGTCCTGATTTGGAGATTTTAGAAATATGAAATACTCTAAACCGATTTCACAAAGGTTTTTACCTACTGACTGCTCTTAATCCCTCGTCTATAGCAATTAGCTCACTTCTGAGGACTGAGCAGTTTTCTGGGTTGTGTCTAGAAAGCCGGATAGAAAGCTTCTCGAGGAAGGCACCGCTCCCTGTTCGATTTGACTCGTCTTTACTACCATCGGTCTATATCAATATGACATCACTTGGAATACCATTTATGACCTCAAGATCAAGCTGTTGTAGGTATTCGGGCACAATAGAGTTTTTATTTGTATGGGACAGAAGTTCAGTGTGGAAGTGAACTACAGGCAAGCCCTCAACTGGGTTGACACAGGGTCTCAGAGATGTATGCTCCACTGATTGAGAAATGATTTTCATTTTATTGGCCAGAGTAAATGGACTGTTCTTTTTTAATCTCTGGTTGTTTTTCCGTTTACATAAGTTTTGGAGGTTCGATTCTGGTTTTCATAACTATTTAATTTATTATAATATTTAACCAAGTTTGAGTTTCTAACAAGACTTAGAGGTGCAAGATTAGCATCATAAAGTACTACCTCATTTGGGCAGCTGTTTCTCAAGCCTGTTATAATGCGAGCCGCGCTTAGTTGCACTCTTTCTAATTGAAGGAGGTTAGATGGTGATGCGCAGAAGTAGACAGGAAACCCATACTCTAGTATAGGCCTGATCAGTGCAATATACGTTGTCCTGAGTGTTTGGGCATCGGCGCCCCATTCTCTGCCTGAGATGAACTTATGAATATTCAGTCTCTTACGGCACTTGTTGACCAAATTTTAAATGTGCCTATTTATTGCTCTTGAATTCCTGGTCTAAGACGAAGCCCAATTACTTTGGATGTTTTACTCAGCAAAGAGGCTGGTTGTGAAAGATAACTTGAGGTTGATACGAGTACAGATGCTTATTGGTGGTGAAGAAACTGACATATGATTTTGAGACATTGTAGATCAATTTGTGGTCGTTTACAAAGTTCCATACTTCAGTTAATGTTGAGGATACAGTTGATTCAACATGGCTCACATCAGGGCTAGAACACCACAGGGCAATGTCGTCAGGGAACATTCCAATATCACACTCTCCAGGAATGATCTTTTCTATCCCAGCCACATACAAAGAAAATAGCATTGGGCTGAGGACGGAACCCTGAGAGACACCCTGATGTGCTCTGAACCAGCTAGTTAAGGTTTCCTTATACTTGACCCGAAACAGTCTATCTCTTATGAAATCAGCAATCCAAGAGAGGGCCTTTCTCTTAATTCCAAATTTGTGATGAAGTTTTATAATGAGTAAACTCCACCAGACTCTACCGAAAGCCTTTAGAGATCTAGAAACACTGCAACAGTATTGTTGGGTGGTTTAAAATTTTGGGAATCTCTAACTCTCTCTTTGACAAAGACATAGGACTTGATCAGTAGTACTGTGTCCTCTTCAGTGGGCAAACTGTTCTTTCAGCAGGAGGAGATTTTTAGAAGTGAGATGAAAAGTAAGTCTGGTGAGAGAATAATTTTTTCCAAAATTTTACTTGGAATGCTTGTTAAGGCAATAGGCTTGTAATTTTCAGGTGAGTTTTCTTTTTTTTGTCAGGTTTTCGAATTGGAAGAATAGTTGACTTTTTCCAGTTTTGGGGGAGACGACACCTGCTCCAAGAGAGATTGATGCTGTCAAGCAGTCTCAGTTTGGCTTGCTCACCAAGATGCGTAATCATTTGTCCATTAATGCCATCAGGGTCAGGAGACTTCGAAAGATTCAAATCTCCGATGGCTAGTTCTAATGTTTGCATTGAGAAGGCATCTCCAAATAAGGATCACTCGCCCTTATATGTTCCGGTGACCGTGAGCTAGATTTCTTGACCTGCACTCAATGATTTTGTTTTGGGCAGTGAAGGACAGTTTACTGATATTCTTGTAGTATTCGTCCAAAATATCTCTGCTGCTTCTTTATCACTGTGGGGAATTCTCCCGTTTGTGCTCGTATCATGTTTTTCAGTTTGGGGTGGTTTTTTTTCAACTCCAAACCTGTATTTAACCGAAGTTATTGAAACCTTTGTGAAAGCTAAAGCTTGGAAAGGATTGTAAACCAAATTATCAGTTTGTTTTTAATAGGCAAATCCAACCATCTTGTAATAAGCCATTTATTCTTTATCAAAATCTTTTTATTTCCTAATACCTATGTTATTATTTGTAATATTGATTGTTATTGATTAAATTTTCCTTTTCTTTTACGTTACTTCTCGTCTTTCTGTTCCTGCAGTTCCCTAACTCTTCACAGCTGTTTTGGTAGAGGTCTGTCATAGTGTCAAATCAAACCTGAGTGATCACTAAAACTCACACAAGAAAACTCATACACTTGAAGGTAGTTTGTAGCTTTGCTTTCCTATGTTCGCCAGAGCACAATAAAGCTCTTATGTTAAAGTATAACTTTGTATGTTTAAAATACTCATACATTTTTATTTTTTTGCTTGATGAAACCAACCAAGATAGGGCTTTTGTTCTTTTTTGCACCAAGGCCTTTGGATACCTAACTACGCCACTGCTTGCGCCGTTGAAGATCTACCGCGTAAAGCAAAGGTATCAAATTTAAAGGCTAATTTGGGCGAAACAAAGTTTAACTTCTGGTGGGCCGCGAAAAAATATATTTTTATCGATAGAAAAGTAAGTTTATTTCGAATGATAGATTGTAACAAAAATTAAATAAAAGAACAAGAAAAATTAATGTTTACGTCCTGACACTTGACTTCTCTTCTCTGCTACTATCTTTCCTCTTTCGGGAGAAATTTTGATACTTT